GGTCATTTATCCAGCTTTGGTGAAAGGAGTTTGGATAGCCACTGCCGACTTTCCCCTCAACTGTTCTGCGGACAGAATAATCAATATACTATTTCTATTTTGTACAGACCCCCTGGCACCTCGTTGCTCCGAGGCTGGGCACGGCCTCGAATTCGCCCGATGATGTCCCTCGTATAGTTTATCTGCTGAAAAAGTCCTATTGACAGCATTCACGCAGCATCGCTGCTGTCAATGAACAGAGAGGACAGGAAGCCAACATCTAGAATTAAAAGCGAGGCGTACGAATTGGTATCTGGGACACTGTGGTCGTAATTCTTACTGGGTATATTGGTCACATGGAGTGTCGGACGTCCCGGAAGTGGAAACTGTGCCTCACGGGAGTAAGATCCGAGCGAGTGGAAACCAGCTCCTAATCAAATGCGGTTTTCGCACACCGCACCGTGGCTGATAAGCAGAATAATTCGGTTGTGAATTCGTAAAAAGAAAAATAATCTGTTGACAAAATATTGAAAATCGGTTTTCGTAGCTCGGGTGAACTGACCCTTCCATTTCGCCTGTTCGCCGAGCTTGGCAATTTGTTTGCAAACGTTTCATCACCAGCCGAGGTGACATCATCAGTGCTTGTCAAGGAATCCAAAACAAAATCGGTCAAGGGAGCAATCGTTTGCTAAGCAACCACAAAACCTCTGACTCACCGTCTCTGTTTATCACCGACACCAGGATTGATACTTTTCCAGATAGTCCACTGTTCCAGAATCCTTGATTTTTCTCTGTCTCACATACCCCCCTCCCCCCCTTGCCCCGGGGAAACTAAAACTTGTTTGACATCCGTCAGCTGTTCCGATTAAATCCCCGTGGTCAAACTATATCGAACTACTAGTTTGCAAATTTCACTCATTTACCTACGAACAACAAACAGTGAAACTAGAAAATATCATCACCTCTCAAAAGTGCCTAAATTTTTTTCTCCACAATACATCCGGTACAGTAAATACCGGATAAGGTACACGTGTATCTGACGCTAGTACGCATTTCGTGAATTGAGCAAACAGACAAAAACAATCTGACCGTTGATGTAACGGTTTACCGGAAAATCGGACAAATCTCATTGACCTACCGGACTAGTTAGTGCTAATGGGGAGAACTGACTGGCATCACCCAGTCCCATGGGATCGGACCAGGTGGATTTGGGCACCGGAACCAAGGCCATGGTAGATGGAATTGTGTGCGTGTTGAACGGATCCGCAGTGGCCGGAGTGAAAGTAAAATGTGAGAAAAATCGCTCTTTGCCCGGTGGAACCAGACTTTGCGGCAGGCTATCAGGAAGCATGTCACCTTCGACACACCGATGAATAAGATGCATAGCCTATGTGGAGAAGGAATAGGCCAAGAAAGTAGATATAAAAAAGTGCAGCAAAAATCAAATCAGCTGATTACGTATCTGTCAGCCTCACAATGTTTATCCCTGCGAGGAAGATAGCAATGGTCACCACGTGCAATAGATTTATGTTTGGTTCACATTGTACTCTGGTACGCAATGAATAAAAGTGTTGGATCAAAAGACGCGGTCACAGAACGTTCAGCGAACTGTTACGAACGAACAGTTTAAGAACTCCCCTCCCCACACACACGCACTGAAGGTCAAGTAAACGCCCAAATTACAGTTACAAATATCGTACATGTCTCGCCAACTTGTCGTCTCTGGTTTCCAAAACATTTGTACAGCCGCAGTTCAACCGTTTGCGTCGTTGAGGCCATTTGTGGTTGTTTAACTCGAAAGCCACGTTGTTTTTCATTCAGGTTTTACGATTTAGACCAAGCCAGGTTCGAG